CACACACACACACACACACACACACACACACACACACACACACACACACACGTCATAAAATTGAAAGAAAATTGAGATATTCAGTTATTTTCCAACCTATTTTGTGGGAAAATCAACAAATAAGAACTGTTTTGTGGTGCAAATAGATGGTTCTCAAATGACGTAGTGACCTGTAAATCAYRTGATCAAATCACCATATTCGTGGGCCCAAATGTGGAAGAGGGTATAGTCTACACAGCACAGAAATGKAAACATCTGGTCTACAGTTATTTGTTTTAGCAGTCATGGAGCAAGTTTGCGTTGGGGTTGGTCACAAAGCTGTGCTGCTCGTGTAGCAGTGAAACGCTTTTAAAAAATCTGATTCCGTAAAAACACCAAGTGAAGTAGCAGAACTGTCGACAAAGTAACGTGATTTTGTAGCTGGTGACAATCAACCACAAAGATTTCACCCTCCTCGGGATTCCAGAGGGTGTTCAGATCACTCCTACCATGGTTAGTGACCGCACCGTTAATTACCTTTAAAAAGGAAGATTGAGCGCTATAAACAGTTACGTGTTTTGAACATTATGTAATCTACCTTTGTAAACGYGCATAGGATACACTTGGGAGAATAGCAGTGAACCAAGCTGTCAAAGAGATCAACAAAGACACCCAAACAGMAGGTAGAACAAAAGGCTTTAGCTTGAAAGAGGCAGCTGTAACAAGATATCACCTGATCTCAGAGTACAGAAGCAGGTACCCAAGACAGTTACGAAACATGACAGTCCAGAAAGACACCACATTCAGCCATCCAGATCAACATCTACTAAGAACCTAGAAAGATGAAGCCAATGCCAGTCCTTTGCTCAGCTGATGGTAACCAACTGGATAAACCCATTTAATCCCAAGTATGAAGATATTATCAGTTATTCATCTGGCATTGTTGCCTCTGCAGATGTCACCCAAGACTTCATGTATGTTCGTACAAATGGTGAAGGAGTTATTGGCGCTTTCAGGAAAGAAAGACTGGAGTCTGATACTCCAGTCATCCAGCTGCATCCAATTCTTGGTAAGAAAATGTAGAAGCCTTCTTGGAAAGATCAAGGACACGGTGTTGTCTGTTACCTGTCGAGAAGAATGGTTCAAGTTGACTACACTTCAGTGTACGGAGGTCCCGGAGCTCACCAGTACCCAGGAAGAAGCAGATACCTGCCTGATGCTTCACGCGAAACAAGCAGGTTCCAATGACCAATTTGGAAAAGTTAAGGAAGTAAATGGATAAACGTACCTCACATCTTCAGACCCAGCTGAAGTTAAACTAAGATAGGTTGATTTTAGGCAGCTTCAACCATGTGAGAATCGTCATTTAGAATTAACAGGCTGTTATATGGAGGAGGTGAATCGGGAGAACACTGCATTTACCACAACCGACTGATCGTAGATCAAAGGCTGATGATGGTAATTTGGTGATTGATTGGCTGAAAGCCTTGCCTGTCTCAGAGACAGCACATGCCTTGGAAATGGTCTAAATGTGCAGACATGTGTAGGTTGCAGACATGCAGTAATCAAGCAAATGAGCTTMAGATGGTGGAAAACCTGGACATGAATGACAGTGATGCAGAAGGCAGTGATGGAGTGGGAGAAATCTGCTAATTGATCTAATACAATGGAAAGCTAGACTGATTCTGTTGCTCATATTTTAATGACATGATAATACTTTAGTAACAGTAAAGTAAATGTATTTATTACAGAAGTCTGATAAGGTATATTTGATAAATATATGTTTTAAAGGAGACATTTCATGCTTTTAAAAACTTTTTCAGATTTTAACCATTCAGTTGGGATCTATATAAAGTGAAACYGGAATGCTTTGCTCTGAATTCCTCTTTATTGTAGCTCCACAAGCCCATCTTTCACCCCTTTTCTGAGGCGTGTCTCAGATCAACTCATTTTGACGCTGTCTCTTTAAATGCAAAGCAGRCAATTTAATGTTTTAAAAAGTAGATTTTGCTGGATACGTCCCCTTTAAAGAACATATGGGTTGATTATGTTCCCAAGATATGGTAATAAAACTACTACAGCTTGACTCATGGGAGGTGGGTGTGTTTGGAGCAAGCTACTCATTAGGCAGGGTTATCATGGCTTGATGTGATCCATAGACATATAGGAAGATAAAAATGAATTTGTTGGTCTCTAGAAGTGGWACCAAAAAGTGAAAAAATTCATACTGGCTCCTGGACCATATWAGGTAGTGTAATTAAACCTCTTTTTTACACCACCTGCTTAAATCCATAGAAAGTTAACAAGAAGAAAATAAAACAAGAAGATAAAAGTCACAATATTAGAAACTAGGGTTTGCCATTTGGTATGTTTTGCTCATAAAAGCATTCTGTACATTAGAAACCCAATTGTTAAGTTTAGAGCACATAAGAGTGTTCAACTTAAAAAAATGTCAAAAGTTTTTCTTATATTTTGAATGAAATTGTCCTGAAAAAGTGACAAATTATAATGAAACCAAGAAAAACATTGCATAACCCTAACACTTTTAAATTGAATATTTAAAAAAAATGCTGAAGATCTGCTAAAACGTTGTCTAAAACCATTTGGAGACAGCAGGTGATACTTTTATTGGATGACTTGGTGCAGCAATCAAATGGAAAATTAGGATGAATGGAAAATGTTATCTGTGGAATCTTGTGATTCTACTCACATGATTATTTGTCTTGTGACTCCTGACATTAGTTGTGCAACGTCATACTGTACATGATAAGCRTACTATAAAATGCTGAGCCAACTGGACGCAGGTTGTAAAATAAGCTATAAATTATTTAAAGTAAAATAAAATAAGCCATAAATTATTTAAAGTAGACAAAGAAAAGTTATGAGTTTTCACAAAGTTGTTATTTATATTAAATGATTGTAGTTTATTCAATTAACATGAATGTGAGCTGTATCAATAATCCCAGATTTCTTTTTAATGGGAATGTCTCTTGATATTTTTCTTTTTATACTAATGCACTTTTTAGCCTCTATGGATCGTTTTAACCTCATCAGATCTAATAATGCCTGATATCAGCTTCTTTTAAATTTTTCCAAATAATTGAAATCATTTTTCTCAACACTTTTTTCATGATTTAACCTCTGGTTTTTTTATTTAGGGGGAATTACATCAACTACAAATACAGTTAAAGCTAGATAAATCAGTAGTTCACTGAATATAAGAAACATGATGAAAATGTAAGGTGGATCATACAAAAATAAAAGGTCTATTGTTCTCAATCAGGATATGAGCCCGTCTTCTACAGTGAGCTGAGCTGTGCAACAAATTCAGTAAAAGTAGTTTTTAATCTGTTGTGGAAAAATAAGTGAAGCTTTTATACATATACTGCTGTATAACTGAAATCCATACATCATCCCAGATGCTTTGTGTAGAGCTTGTATCATCAAGTATGTCTGGTCAAATACTGCAGGAACAGTGCTCAAGGGTCACATTTGTCGACTTTGCAAACATACAAAACATGAATCACAGTATGCAACAAATAAAACACGATCAGAGCTTCAAAATGTAACAGCAATCACACTCCTGACCCAGAACATGAATTAAAAATATTTACAGTGCTCTATAAACACTTTAAAATGTGGCTCCGTATTATAAACTACAAATCAGTAATAAGTTCACACTAAAAAATAAAAATAAAAAAATCACAGATTTGGGCAAATAAAATGAATTTTTTTTTTTTTTTTTGCAATTGGACACCAAATAATAATAGTCATGAATGACTATTTTTACATAAATTTCATATTTTCTATATTTCATTAATAAATGTGTTCTTCAAAACAGGCAATTCAATCCTCTCATTACAGCTAGTTACAGTCTATCCATTCTAATTTAATAACTAATATTTACAAGTGATGGGTAACAAATACGCCTCCTTCCCCCACATGTTCAGAGTAGTGTTTCTTGAGTTATGAAGTCACTCTTGCTGTGAACTGTTTTGTATCGTTATCCTGGGCTCTTCAGGGTTCAAGGCCAAAGACATACTGTATTACCTACTTAAACGTAGGGCAGGGCAAACTGCAGAGTCTGCGCGTGGGTCTTAACGTGTCACCGTATAGGCTTCACTGCCAACCTAACTGAGGGTGTAGCCCTGGCTGGAGTGGGAAGGGGTTCCCAGGGCCTGCAGGGTAGTTGGTGAAACTGTTGGGTTGAGGAGGAAAGCTCTCCAAAGCAGATGTAGGATGAGCCTGAAACAAGACAGAAGTGGAGTTTTAGAGCCGTTTCTTGAGCTGAAAGTCAAAAAGTCAGATTAATGTGTGTGTGTGTGTGTGTGTGTGTGTGTAAACTACCTGAAGTAGAGCAGACTGCATGGTTGGGTTGTGGAGGCCACTGAGGGCAGCAGGAGAAGCAGATGGAGAGAAGCCTGCTACAGCAGGGAAGGACAGCAAGCCTGGGAACCCACTCCCTCCTGGAGCCTGAAGTGCACTCGTCAGCCTGCAGCACACAAGAACATTCAGCACTTTAGCAATTTTTCCCCAAAAAACACAATTTAACATTTTGTATGAAATGAAAAGAAAAWAAGTGACATATTCATCTCTCTGCTGCTTTTAAGTTTAGGCTGACCAAGATCCTAACAGCTGAGAAGACCAGCTGATACTTCAGAAAGTGTCTGCTCTCATGTTATTGTCTCACATAAGATCAAGTCTAAATATAAAATGAAGAGTAAATGAACCAATGTTTACATTTAATAAACRTAAAGCTAACACCATGTAAACCTACTTTTTTTTTTTTTGTTAGTTTTATGGCACATCTCATCCAACAATTGTTGTGCTTTTTCATATATCAAAACATTCCTTCAGGACATTCTGGTCATAACTTTTAGTATTTTAGCAATTTAAGCTTTTTTATGCTTCTATCAGCTGCACTTTCAGCTAATTCCAGATAAAATTGAGTTTGAGCTTTTTCAGTTAAATTCACCTTTTGGTGATAATTTCAACATCTTACTGCTTAATTCAGCAAATATTTCAGCTACATTTTTAAGTCATATTTAAGGCTAGTTTTAGCTCTATTTAACTATTTCAAAACAAATTGAACTCTCATTTCCCTGTCTGTAAATTTTAACTTGTTTAATCTACTTAACTTCTTTTTCCTAATTTTAGCTACTTTTTGCTACTGTGAGATTTTCTGACCCTTTTTGCTTTCTACTGATTTTTTGCTTTTGTTGTCCTACTTTCAGCAACAGTTAGCTGTGTAACTTTAACTCACATTGTTTTACGTTTAAAACTCTTCAGCAAAACATATTTCAGCATTAAGCAGTCACACTGAATTTTCACATGAAATAGTTTCTGTAGTTGACAGCATACTTTTGGTATGTAGTTTGTGCTTAAATTACGAGTTAACATAATTTGTTTCAGATTAGTAGTTTTTCCTTCTTTGCTGGCTTATTTAGTAACTCTTTTAGGATATGCTTTGTCTTTGAGTGCTTGAAACGTCAACAAAGGCGAGGTTAACAGAAATAACCCAACAGTGTTGGCAAAGATCTTATGTGACACAAAGTAAAGTCTAAACAGAAGCACAGGAGGACTTTGTACCTTTTAGGTGCAGCATCTAACGTATCACTAAAAACATAGGTGGAAAATCGATCGGCATAATTTATGATGCACGTCTATAGCCGCTTTACAAGCAAATGGTTTCCTTCAACTTTTTTCTCCTGTTTGCTGTTCTCCCTCTCATTACAAGACGTGAATTTCCTGTTATATAAAGATAACAGCAATTCAGTCAGTAGCTCCTGTGTTTATGTGAACCTAATGGTATGGCGTTAATCATATAGCATGAGATTATTGGATCTACAGTAAATAATGACATGTTTTATGGTGTGTGTATATATATATATAT